GTTAAAATAAGATCAACCATGATCTAATTGAATGGGAGTGCAGGCTGGAAGGGCCGAGTGGCCTACCATTGCTCCTTGCTCGTAACTGTTGAGATTCATTCCTTGTGCTTAATCAAAAAGATCTTGTGTCAAAGGGATCTCGTGACTGGAGGATTGAGACAACTGAGAGACTTGCAAGAAAAGATGCTGGCAAGTTTAACTAAGTTGAATGCTCAGGATGATGGCCAAAAGGTGAAGGTTTTGAACTGATAAAATGAAGTGAAAGCATTTTTTTATTCACTCGTGGGACATGGGCATCGCTTGCTGGGCCTGCATTTATTGCATATCCCTAGTTGCCCTTGGTAGTGGTGAGCTGCCTTCTTGAACCACTGCAGTCCATGTGCTGTGGTTTGACCCACAATGTCCTTAGGGAGGGAATTCCAGGATTTTGACCAAATGACAATGAAGGAATAGTGATATATTTCCAAGTCAGGATGGTGAGTTGCAGGATGAGAAATTGCAGGTCATGCTGTTCCCATGTATCTGCTGCCCTTGTCTTTTTAGATGGAAGTGGTCATGGGTTTGGAAGGTGTTGTCTGAGGATCTTTGGTGAGTGTCTGCAGTGCATCTTATAGACAGTACACACTGCTGCTACTGAGCATCGGTGGTGGAGGAAATGGATGTTTGTGGATGTAGTTCCAATCAAGTGGGCTGCTTTGTCCTGGATGGTGTAAAGTTTGTTGAGTGCTGTTGGAGCTGTGCCCATCCAGGCAAGTGGGGAGGTGGGGCAGTATTCCATCACACTCCTGACTTGTGCCTTTTTGATAACGGACAGGTTTTGGGAGTCAAGATGTGGGTTAATCCTAACTGTTGACCTGTTCTTGCAGCCCTGTACTTACACGGCTAGCCCAGTTGAGTTTCTGCTCAATGGTAATCCCTAAGATGTTGACAGTGGGGGATTCAGTGAGGGAAATGTCAAAGGGCAGTGGTTAGATTGTCTGTGATTGGAGACGGTCATTGCCTGGCATTTGTGTGATACAAATGTTACTTGCCATTTTTCAATCCAAACCTGGATATTGTCCAAATCTTGCTGCATTTGAGCACGGACTGCTTCATTATCTGAGGAGTCGCGAATGGTGCTGAACATTGTGCAATCATCGGCGAACATCCCCACTTCTGACCTTGTGATGGAAGGAAGGTCATTGATGAAGCTGCTGTACAATAAGAAACCACACATAATCATTGTGGCTCTGAACCTGAGCACTGCAGAAGAAAATGAACACCTAACTCACAAAGATCATCCTGCACTGCAAGTTGGAAATCTCTTAATTTTCAGGGTAGACATACACTGCAAAGCTTCAATAGATTATGGTGACCTGTCTTTCACTCCAATCTCAAGACAGAACTAGAAGATATCCTTATGACCATGAAGCTTGATGCTGTCTCAAAAATTTTGAAGATAATGAAGTATTTGGAGGGAACTTGGAGATTTTACTAAGTTGCCAGGTGAGCACCAAGTAGTTTTGATGCATGGCTTAGTACAGAAACCAGACTAAAGAGAGGTCCCTTACCTGGAGTTTTGAAGTGGAAGGAATGATACTGATGTTAGAATGGACTCTTCCACAGCTGGCAGGTTAATCGTGATATCCTTTTTAGTGTTTTTGACCACATATTCATGGGCATGGAAACCAATTGACATAAAACTCATGTTTTCAGCGGGGCTGTTAACTTTCAGAGAGAGTTCTTTCTGAAACTGCCCTCGGAAGCAGCAGATGTAGAAAGAAAATTGAAAAACAAAATGGCTCCACGGTGTGAATGATGTTTCAAGGCTGTGGTATAGAACAAAGGACCAAGGTCTGTGATCAAGGGCCTGGGGCCCGATTAAGCGTAAAGAACCTGAGGTACAGGAAATTGGAGAATGGGAATGTGAGTGGTCACAATAGATATGTCAGAGATATCGCATCGAAGACTAATATTCAAGAACAGGCACTCAGATTACATAAGTGACACAGGGATCTAGTGACTGAAGGAATTAGAAAACTGTTGGACTTGCAGAAAACGCTGCTGACAAGTTTAACTAAGTTGGGATGATGGCCAAGAAGTGAAGGCTGAAGGTAAAATGAGGTGAAAGAGATCTGAAGCCTGGAACCTGGGACCTGGGTCCTGGAGCCTGGGTCCTGGAGCCTGGGACCTGGGTCCTGGAGCCTGGGGCCTGAAGCCTGGGGCCTGGAACCTGGGTCCTGGAGCCTGGAGGCTGGGGCCTGGAGGCTGGGACCTGGAGCTTGGGACCTGTGGCCCAGGTCCGGGGGCCTGATGCTTGGGGCCTGGATCCTGGAGCCTGGGCCCTGGGACCTGTGGTCTGGGTCTTGGGTCCTGAGGCCTGGAGCCTGAGGCTGAAGATTGGGTTTGAGCTTCTCTTCTATCCCAATCCTCACTGTGGGAGGCAATCATTACAGGCAATCTCTCTTGCACACCTTGAACACTGGCCAAACACGTGCAGGCTGAAACTACAAATCCAATCAGGCTTTGATTGAGTCACTGTTTGGATAATCCCTCGGAGATCTTCAGTTTTATCCCAACCTGTCCATCGACGAATTCAATTCATTTTAAAACTCGGTGAAAATAAGATGTTGATAATCCATTGAAATGTCAGATTGTCACAGTGCCATATCTTGTTTAGAAATATGGTTCCAGGAGGAGATCCTGCCATCCTTACCTGTCCCCATTTATATGGGACTCCAGCCTCACAAAAACATGGTTGACCCTTGATGGCTGCGGCGTGGCCCAATAAGCAAGTCTATCAGGTCAACGGATGTTGGGATATAAATGTCAAGGTGGTCATCTCCCGGGATGACTGGAAAAGGTTAGTCAGCTAAAGAAGCCATCACAGATCAGGTTGAACATAAGCAGGATACAGAGCTCATGGTTCTGATGAGTCTAAGCCTCAAATTAATCGACAAAGGACCGCCTTCTGATCAGGTTCACTGGCGTGTGATCAGCAGTCGGACATAGAAACCAGGTCTGTGGCCAAGAGATGGAACACAGTGACATTTCAACCCTCTTGTTCATTTGCTGGTGGAATGGAGTTACAGTGGCATCGCTGAAGGGAGCCTGTGCGAAGGTACTGCGAACAGTGTCAGATCCAGACCACCCGTGAACTGCAGCATCCTTACAGCTGGTGGCACAGATAGTTGGTGACCCTGTGCCTCCTTTACCCATTCACTGCTAGGAGATGCCCATGAGGTGGGCAGGGGGGAGTGGGTGGTGTTGGGGGGAGTTGTACTGTGAATTATTCACCATGCCCTAAGCAATGATTCTCTGTCTCTTTTCTAGCTAACTATTTGTGAAGTTAAATGCAAATGTGGCTGGATGTTCTCACTCCTCCACTGGAACCAATGGTGAAAGCATTGATGACATATGAAAGGGTATCACAGTGAAGAGGCAATGATACTACAGTACACACTGATGCTAAGGCCACTGTTACTGAGCACGTCTGGCCATCCTAGTCATTATCTTAACCCTCTTTGTTCCTGTCCTGGGAGTGTTTGATGGTGACAGTGCAGAGGGATCTTTACTTTCAGTTTAAAACAGTAGAGCAAGCCATACTCTGTTTCTAACCCCATACTGTCCCCGTTCTGGGAGTGTTTGATGGGGACAGTGTAGAGGAAGCTTTACTCTGTTTCTCATCCCACACACGACTTGTCCTGGAGTGCAGAGTGAGCTTTACTATGTATCAAACGATGTGCTATACCCGTCCTGGGAACATTTGATGGGGGGCAGTGTAAATGGTTATTTAATGAATATCTAAACCCAGGCTGAACATGGTCAGGGAATTTGAAAAGGGCTAGTGTAGAGTGATCATTACTCTACATTGAACCCCGTGCTGTACCTGTTCTGCAAGTGTTATATGGGGGATAGTGTAGAAACAGCTTTATTTTGTATCTAACCCTGTGCTGTACCTGTCCTGGGAGTGTTTGATGGGGATAGTGTAAAGGGAGATTTAATCTATATCTAACCCTGTGCTGTACCTGTCCCGGGAGTGTTTGATGGGTACAGTGTAAAGGGAGATTTAATCTATATCTAACACTGTGCTGTACCTGTCCTGGGAGTCTTTGAATCACCGCTGATACTGTCTCTGTCAATCAGTTTCTAATCCCATGCTGAACATGGCCTGGGAATTTGAAAAGGTGTAGTGTAAGAGAAGCTTTGCGCTGTATCTAACCTCATGCTGTCCTGCGACTGTTTGATGTGGACAGTGCAGAGGGAAATTTATTCTATATCTCACCCTGTGCTGAACATGTCCTTCAGTGTTTAACAGAGACTGTGGCAGAGTCAGCATTATTATGCATCTAACACTGTGCTGTCCCTGTCCTGGGACTATTTGATGGTGACAGTACTTACATTTTAAATGAGTAGAGGGAGATTAACTTTCAATTTAAAAGAGTAGAGCGAGATTTCATCTATTTCTAGCCCTGTGCTGTATTTGTCCTGTGAGGGTTTGATGGCGACAGTGTCAAGGAAACTTTACTTACACTTTACCTTCAATTTGAAAGAGTAGAGAAAGCTTTACTCTGTATCTAACACCGTGCTGCACCTGTTTGGAAGCGTTTGATGGAGGCAATGTAGAGAAGGCTTTAGTTTCAGTTTAAATGAATAGAAGGAGCTTTTCTCTCTATCTAATTATCTGCTGTCCCTGGGAGTGTTTGATGGGGACAGTGCAGAAGGAGCTTTATTCTCAGCTCAAATGTGTCAAAGGACCTCTTCTCTGTATCTAACCCTATGCTGTCCCTGCCCTGGGATTATTTGATGGGGACAGTGTAGAGGAGGCTTTACTCTGTCTTTAACGCTGTGTTGTACCTGCCCTGGGAATCCTTAGTTTCACACAGGAGCGGTTGCAACTTGAGGTATTTTGTTGCCCAGCAGCAAGTGCTCATGCAAAGAATATACACCAAAAGAAGACAACTGAAATAACGACTTTTGGCATTAATCGCGAACAATTACCAAGTGGAGTCCAGACTTACCATCTCCACGGTGATGGCTGTGTGGATCCCTCCTGCTTTGCTGAAAGCCCAGGGGAAGTTGAGGAGCCCAGCACCAAGGGCTGATTTCAGCAGGATGAATACTGCTCCACAGGATGACAGACCTGACCTCTCTGCGTCCAGAGAGTTTGGCTTGGCCAGTAGATTGATATTCTCTCGAGCCAGCTCGTCCATCTGTATCAGTCTCTGCGCTATTCCAGAGTTTACTGAACTTTCTGGCTATCTGCCTTGTCCAGCCATGAATGGGCTCACCCCCCACCCCAACCAAACCAGGGTCCCAGTTCTTGCTTGGATCTGACACGTCGCTTGACCTGTAGGAAGCTCTTCAGTCTTTGAAAGCAGGGATTGGTGGTCCTCAGGCCAATGAGCTACCTGCGGAATTTCTTTGCCACCAATCAGAGCTTGTTGGAGGAGTTGCCATGACCTTGTAGCCGTAACGATGTTGACATAAGCCGAGACTGACCTGGAGCAGGAACAGAGATTGGAGCTATCACTACACTGCCCATTGCCTTGAGGATCGTTGCTCAATTCTTCAGCTTAAAATTCGCCGAAACGTTAATCGGGTTTATGCGCTTCATTGGTTAGGATAACCACCACCCAATTCTGTCACTTTCAATTCACTTTCTCAGCTCTGGTTTTAAAGAACGAGGAGCATTCCAGAATCTGAGGTGGGGGGTTACTGCTAATTCTGCCGTGAGAAGAATTCACAAAAAGCTGGTTTAGTGAATTGGGCATTGATCTGTGAAATTCCAGGGATTGGGAAGCAGGGGGCTTTGATGGGATTTGTTCGGCCCAGGAAGGAGCAGTGTTTCTCACTCTTTGTGGCTGGATATCTGAATAAGGGACTCTGATATCTCAATGCTTTCGATCCCCACATGCAGTCTATGGGTCAGCACTGTACATCCATCATATCATCAATCCCTGAGCAGGGAGAACTCAGCTGGGGAGAGGTAATGTCTGTTCCTCCCTGTGTGAGTTTTACTACAACACCCACACAATGGAAACTCTGAGATCCAAGAGAGATGAAGCCCTGGTAATTTCTGGAAAGTTTAAAATCTAAGCCAACTTGCATACTCTGTGATCAATAGCAGCTCCTTTCAACCAGTCATGAAGTCTACAGTACAGAAAAGAAGGCCCTTCTGCCCATTAAATCTCTGCCAGCCAAAGACAGCCATCTAACTATTCTAATCCCATTGTCCAGCATTTGGCCCATAGCCTTGTACGCCTTAGCATCACAAGTGCACATCTAAATAATTCTGAAATGTTATGAGGATTTCTGCCTCTACCACCTTCACAAAACAATGTCTTCCAGGTTCCCATCACTTGTGGGTGAAAACGCTTTTTCTCACATTTTCTCTCAACCTCCTGCCCCTTATCTTCAATCTGTGTCCCCTGGCCATTGATCCCTCTATCAAAGGGCAAGGTTTCTTCCTGTTCTTCCCTATTTATGCCCTTCACAATTTTACACATCGCAATCATGTCCCCTCTCAATCTCCTCCGCTCCAAGGAAAACAACCCCAGTCTGTCCAATCTCTCCTCATCACTAAAATTCCCCAGTTCAGGCAACATCCTGGTAAAAGTAGGATCTCCCAACAGCAAGGGCAGCAGATCAATGGATGTATTGAAAAATCCGGATGGTGAGGAGTAGCAGATGGCTGGATATGCAGGCAACCTGGCTTTCTGATTTTTTTTTTCTCTCTCTCTCCCTTCTCCAGAACGTCTCGTTTTCTCTCAGGATGCACTTTCTTCTGCTCTAGAGCTGGTGGAAAGGAAACTGCTAAAACGTAACGAATCAGGGAGGGGACAAGCCTAATGGCTGGCTATTGTTGGAATGTCCAGGCGCTTGTACCTGAGTTGTTCTGCTAATGCCAGAGAGCTCAAAAACACAATGGTAGTGATTGCTAGGGTTTAAGCACTTCGTACCAGATTTTAGTTGGGTTTGCTAATGTTTGATTTCCTAATTCCACAACACTGAGGCTTTCTTTCATGCTGGCTTGTACAAAGCGGAAAGGGTTTTCAGACAGCTGACACTCCTAGAGCAGTAGTCAGTGCCACACTGTCAAAGGTGCGATGTTTTCGACAAGACCTCAAACTGAGGCTGCTCTGTCAAAGTGGACGTAAAAAGACACAATTTCAAAAGAGCAAGGGAGTCATGCATGTTGATCTGAACAATTTTTGTTTTATTTATGCCTCAATCAATATTACAAAATTAGTTAGTTATTTAATTGATAGTACGTTGTTGTTTGTGGGACCATGTGAGGCACAGGTTGGTTAGGCTTGTGATTAAATTTCAAAAGTTACAACGTTTAAAATGTATTTGGATGTTTACATGAATGGGAAAGGTTTAGAGGGATATGGGCCAAACTCGGGCAAAGGGGACGAGTTTAGTTTGGCAAACCAGGTAGGCATGGACAAATTGGACCAAAGGGTCCGTTTCCATGCTGTGTGGTTAGGTAGACAGGCGATGCTAAATTGCCTTGTAGGTGGGTTAGCAATGGGAAATGCAGAATAGGTCTGGGTGGGATGCTCTTTGGAGGTTCAGAGTGGACTCAATGGGCTGAATAGCCTGTTTCCACACTGTAGGGATTCTGTTCTATGACTGTATAAATCTCTTCCTCACCATCTCTAATGCTATCATATCCTTCCTATAATGTGGATTCCCAGAACTGGAAGTCAAGCTCTAACTGTAGCCTAACCAACATTTTATACAGGTCCAGCATTACCACCCTGCCCTTAAACTCTATGGCACAGCTAATAAAGGCAATTATCCTATATGCTTTCTTAACCACTTTCCCAGCCCGATCATGTCTATTTTAATGCGCACTGAAAAGTGAGGCATGTTGAAGAAATCCTCGCAGTTTATCATTTCTCCACGCCTTGGGGAATAATGCTAGATGCGGCACATTTCATGTTCTCCTGGCTGACCACCAGCTTACAGTCTCCATCAGCTTCAGCTCGCCCAAAATTCTGCTAGCTCCTCCCTTAACTCGAACCTCGTTGTGTCTGTCCATTAAAGTGAGGTCGCTATAGCCCCATTCTTTTTCATCAGAGAGAGGGGAGTGTTGTCGGTGTCTCACTGCAATCCAAACCAACTGGCCAGCCAACTGAGCTAACTGGCCACACACACACACATGTTCACCTGATACCATCATATTCGCTGCCTACACTTCTGGTTCAGTAATGCATCAATCTTCAAATGCTCATAGAAATATAAAAAATAGGAGCAGAAATAGGCCCATCAGCTTTGCAGTGCTGTTCAATGTTATCATGACTGTTCCTGCTTTCTCCCCAGACCCTTTGATCCGATTCACCCGAAGAACTATATCCAGCTCCTTCTTGCAAACATTCAATATTTTGGAACCCAAATACTTTCTGCAGTAGATGATTCCACAGGCTCACTGTTCTCTGGATGAAGAAATTCCTTCTCATCTCAGTCCTAAATTGCCTATCCTGTACCCTTAGACTGTGAGTCCTGATTCTGGATTCCCTGGTCATCTTTCCTGCATTTACCTGGACTAGTTCTGTTAGAATTTTGCAGGTTTCTTGAAAAACCCCTTATTCTTCTAAACTCCAGCGAATATAGTGCTAACTGGCCCACGATGACTCTATGACTCTCTGTCTTTGTTAGTATGTCCATCCCAGGGTTCAGTCTGGTAAATTTTTATTGTACTCCCTTTATGGCCAGAACATCCTTCCTCAGATAGGGGGACCAAAACTGTACACTATACTCCAGGTGTGGTCTCACCAAAGCCCTGCACAATTGAAGCATTTTGTCTCTATTTCTGTAACTATCTTCAGCTCTACAATCTCTTGAAATGACTGAACTCCTCTAATTCCAGCCTTTTACACACATTCCTTCTCTCCAGCATTGGGTGCCTTGACCCAGCTGAACTCCCTTTCCGAGTGCACTTTGCTTCATTTTCCTCCTATTTCGAAATGTCATTTTAAAACTGCAATCAAGTTTACAAACAGCGGATTTAAACTTATGAATTTTCATTCGGAGTGGCAGGCAGTAGGTTGGGCAAATGATTTGATTTGATTTATTCTTGACACATGTACTGAGATATGGTGAAAAGTATTGTTTTGCGTGTTAACCAGGCAAATCATTCCTTACATTAGTACATCAAGGTAATAGAACAGAATGTAGAGTATAGTGTTATAGCTACAGGGAAGATGCAGAGAAAGATCAGCTCTAATATATGAGAGGTCCATTCATAAGCCTGATAACAGCAGGGAAGCAACTCTTCTTAAATCTGTTTGTACATGTTTCAAACTTTTGTACCTTCTGCCCGATGGAAGAGGGTGGAACAGAGTATAACAGGGGTGGAAGGGGTCCTTTGATTATCTTGGCTGCTTTCCCAAGGCAGTGGGAAGTATAGACAGAGTCAATGGATGGAAGGTTAGTTTAATTTGATTTGATTTATTATTGTCACATGTACATTGGTAGAGTGAAAAGTTTTGTTTTGCGTGTAGATCATACCATGCAAAGTGTATTAGGGTAATAGAACAGAGCAAAGAATATAATGTTGCAGCTACAAAGAAGGTGCACAAAGAGTGAGGTCAACATTAAATTTAAAATTTGAGAGATCCATTGAGAAGTCTGACAACAGCGGAGAAGAAGTTGTTCTTGAATCGGTTGGTACATATGGTCAAACTTTTGTGTCTTCTGCCTGATGGAAGAGAGTGGAAGAGATTATGTCCAGGGTGGGAAGGGTCTGTGATTATTTTGGCTGCTTTCCTGAGGCAGCGGGTGGTATAGACAGAGTGAATGGAAGGAAGGCTGCTTTTGAGTGTTCAAACTGCCTGATTGTCAGTTGCTTTTTATACAAAATCACCTTACAAGCCGCCCAATTCCAGCTTTCCTGACCAATGAGCATGATCATCATGAATGAGTCCGACAGCTTCACTATTTAAAGGGACTATGTGATGGGGAAGAATGAAAGTACTCTGCAACTCTCAAGAGAAAGCTCGAGCTGATCGACTGCCAACTTGCAAGGACCTGATTGTGATGGAAATGGTGCCAAATTGACTTAAAACCTCACCCATTCTGGATCTCACCAGCCTAATCCCTCACAGCTCTCCTCAGAACAACACGCATTGCAGGTTGACTCATACCTGTGTGGAAGGATCTCCTCAAATCCCTGCCTAGAAGCTCACCGGCCAGTGCCCCTCAC